CATATCAGAGTAATATATAGAATCAAAAATGTAGAAAAACGTGGTCCTCTATTAGAAATAAGGGAATTCTATTTACCTCCCGTATTTGGAAGTGCGCTATGCCAGATTAATCCTCGGATTTACCCAAAATTTTCAGAGATTTTTTCAACTCAGCATAATTTTGAAAATAAATGGACTACCTGAATATACCTATATTATATAATTCAGTACTACTGGTTATAAGGGTGTAATTTAATTGATAGTTAAAAATATAGGATATATGATTCCTTACCTCATTTTGGGAAGAAAAGTTGATATGAACATATGCCCTGAAACTAGTTCTTGTTCAGTATATTGAAGTTAATCTTTCTTGAAAATTCCAACACCCTATAGCTCGGATGTTGAGAGGTTTAGGGCATATCAAGTTTTCTTCTTAAAATGAGCTGAAGAACCATATCCGCTATTTTCAGCCATAAACTAAATTACACGCTGTATAGTTTCAAATTCATTTTAGTTCAGTTAGTTTTGTTGTCATATATTATTATATATTCATATATTATATTCAATAAATCATGGCATTGTTTTATGTTGTTTGTTCTGAGAATGTTGGTATATTCATACATACCTATATTCTTTCAAATACTTTAGATCGATTGTCGGAATATTTCGTATAACGTTCGTATATCCATATTATTGACTTATTCTTTTATACCATCAGGTCCGTCATTCTATATTTTCATATGAAATATTATCGAATTGAAGTTTCGATGGTTTGTATGACCAATTAATGAATTGTAGATTGTTGAAATTTACACATTCTTAGTACTATCATTTCTGGTTTGAAGGACAAAATAGTAAATCCCTTTACTCTAAGATTGGATTCTAGTTATAATTATATTATATCGTTCTCATCGGAACTGAATCACTGTGAAGCAGTCCAGATCAATTCCTATTTATTTCATTGTTGTTGCCAGAGAAGAACTATGTCATTGTTATTTTTCACGTTCGAATAATAATTATTGCACCTCTGGGTATACCGCTGGGTATACCCTATATAATACCTTCACAGCGCGAAGCAGATCATAAAATGCTAATGAGGGAGACAGTTCGTTTCTAGGCAATGAATAGTACATGTGCTTAGACAAAAATATTTCGATTCGCTCAAGAGTCGTTACCTATTTATTGGGCATCACTGTACATACTAAAATGCTTGCACAAACATCATGGTACCCTTATGGTACCTACTTTAAGGACAAATTACATCAACGTAAACATCAAATAAAACTAATATAAAACATGCAGTTATTGTGTCAGGTAGCCAAATCATGACTTTCTTTTTATCTTTGATGGCCCGGACTTGGGTTTGCACGAAGATGGTGTCTCGATGGCTGTGATGAATGCTGGGAGAGGCGCCCAATCGGTAGTCGGGTCATCTTCATCATTCGAGCATTTCAGCTCTACATCCGGGACGTTGGTGCACAATTTGCCACCGCATGACTGGCAGAGGACAGAGCAGTGGAGTCCTGCCCTTCTGCCCGAACAGCTCCCAGGGCACCATTTCTTGCATTTACATGAGATCTTTCGCAGAAGAGCAAGATGTGCGGGATCTATAGTGGTGGAGATGGGAGTGAGTCCCTGAGAAGACATCTCCCACCCCCAATCTGTAGGACTTGAGTTCACTCACCGCCACTTCTGCACTTGGAGGTAGCACCTTCCTGCATGGTGGCCTGCGGCATCTTCCGTTGGTGCCAATCGAGCGAGGTATATGCTCGTTGAAGTAACAAACGTCTCATACCTCGGGAAATTCAAAGTATCCTTCGTGATATCACCCTCACGGCTTGTGGGATGGAGTCTGGCCGAAGAAATAATTTCACGTGCTCAGCAAGTGGTTCACTCTTGCTCAGGATAGGGTCCCTTGATGAAAATTGACGTTATAGTACAATTTATATGTTCCCTACCTCGCAAAGATTATGCTGGAGTAGTAAACTCTGAATCTAGAGGACTGTTCATCTATATCTTGGTATAGTTGAATCGGGAATTCCATATGGAAATTACGTATGATACGCCAGTGACCTCAATATAAGCTAAAAAACAACGAATGTCAAAAATCTAATATATAATCTAAATAAGGATGGAACTATATAACTGTTTCACAAACACTTTAGAGTGAGAGGAGACGAGGATCTGTCCGTACCCTGTTAGGATGACTTTAACGTCAATTTCCATCAAGGGACCCTAGCTCAGGAGTGTATAGTGAATTTGGTCTTCCCTTGGCCAAATGGCGCTGAGGTAGTATCACACCCGGTGAATGCGTGAGTGAATAGTACCGTCCCGGGTGATCGCTGGGAGTCCTGGTGGTTGTAGGAGTTCGTATGGAGAAATGACAGCAACAAGCTTATTTGCTCTTCGTGCTCTTATGAAGGTAGACTGTGTTTGGTTATCAGTCGTTTTTGAGAGAACCGCTAGACCTACAGATACCAGTCTAATCTCAAGTGAAAGCTAATTAAATTTACTACAACTTCATATCTCATAATATTTGACGTGGGAAGCGTATTTTAGAAGATAATTCACAGAATAGGTGACCATTTTGAAGAAATTCCACTTTTCCGAAATACTGTATCTTGGGAACCATTAGCTGTATAGAGCTCGCCTTGGCCTCGAATTATAGCAAATTTTGTTATCTTCAAAAATTTATAAGGTGACTATAGTGGTCAATCCCTTTCTTCTCTGAGATATTGAGCGAAAACTGAAATAGGTCCTAACAACACCTAAAACATTTAGAATGACCGGACCTTTTGCAAGCACGGATGTACATCTCGATTGGACTAAAACTTTTTTGCTTGATATTTGTATACATCAGAATGTGCTCCAAAAATACTTGGCGAAAAATCATGAGTACGAAACCGTGTTATATTTTCATTCATACTTTTCTTCATCCAGACTTCTTTCGTTGTATTCAGACTCTTTAGATATGAGTATAGTTTATGCAAAGTCAGTTGAACAGATCAAACGAATGTCGGGCCGCGCTGCCGCACTCTTTGAACTTTCAAAGGGACCGACGGCTTGTGGTGATGTGTTTTTCCAACTGACTTTGCATAAACTATTTCTACTCGTGTACCTACATTCGCCCCTCGATTAACCTTGTAGACATACAGGGTGATCAAAAAATACACGGCAGAAAATCAGGACCGCGTATATACAGGGTGAGTCATGACTAACCAGCCATAGAGCGTAATGGCGGAAAGAGGAAATCAAGATAAGTTGATATATATGTGAAAAAATATATTTTGCCTATTATTCGTAACAGAAATATATGGCTTCATTTGAATTCGGGGCGAATTTTTGATGAATTATATTTCACGAACGTGGCATATAATTAGAAAAAATTTAAAAAAAAATTGTCAATATCCTTCATTTTCCGGAAATTCTTGACTAAAATTGATAACTTCTGTTTTTGAGTTATTTACGACGATCTCTGACTCTTCAAAGTATGGTATGACCCCCCCTGTCCAGATGAATCTGGATTTGTGTTCTGGCAGCACTCGTCCTCTCTAACTCGAACACAAGATAGTCACACAAGTAAATTGACTACAGCAGAGGAGACAAACACGACCTCTGTGAAACACCCGCCTTGAGTGAAAAATCCTCAGAAATAGAGAGTATACAATTCTTATGATGAGAGTCGGCATTCTTGCCTCATACATTTTGGACATTAGACCCTCGTGCTAGACATAGTATCAATTGCCTATTCGGCATCTATCATGACCATGACACTGTTTTCGTTGTGATTAAAGGCCTCTTTTACACAGTGAACAAATCGGGGCCACTTTTTGGGACGTGGTGCTATGTCCCTCGCGAAACCCGAATTGCTCGCCGAATTGTTTATCGGGTATCAGGTTCAAGTCGTCGACCTAAGCCTCAATCAATATGAGTAGAACCTTATCCACTATCTTAGCCACCACACTGAGCAGTGATACAGAGCGAGAGCTTCCAGGAAGTTTTAGATTTTTTTCAGCTTTCGAGATGGGTTCAACAAGCCTAATCTTGAGACACTCTGGATAGTGCTGGTACTTTATTATAGCATTGATTGAATAGTGCAGAGATTATACACCCCCCGAATAGTGTATCTGGACCCTCCGGCTTTACGAGACAAGTTCCTCAGGAGAACGATGTCAATCCCGTGGAATCCTGATGGTGGTGCTATATTTTATCATTTATCAGTCCACTGAGGCAACGCGCTAGTCGAAATTTAACATTACGAAGAAGAAATAAATATCGTGTGTTGATGTGTGTTGGCTTGTTTATCTCAACAAGCAGCACAGCAGCTTGCTACTACTTTCATGACTGGCGAGAGACTCTCTACTAAAAGGTCATACACGCGATTTTACACGAATGTCTCGACGAATGTATGCTCGGTTGTAATCACCATAGACATTATGTATATCAGTGATATAGGTATGAAAACCATGGATTTCAATCTATGGGTAAACCTAAATCAGGGAGAAAACCTTATGACCTAATAGCTAAATAAATAACGAATAATGTTGTTTATCACGAGGTCTAGGGAAGATAGGTACTACCAAAGATTAACGACTGGAAGAAAAAATAAACTCACCCTAGATGAAAACACCGCAAAAACTGGGCAAATCACAGGTCACAGCAAATTCAATTAACAATACAGTCACAGCTGAGCGAATCGAATTTAATACCGAATTCCGAAAAAACCTATAAAACTATCCGAAACCTAAATAATCAACAAAATAAATTGATTATGCCTTGATAATTGATGTTTTTGTAAGGTTATAGATGAAATTCACGGATTCACGATCACAAAACAAAATTCGTTGTTCTTTCGATACAGGTAGTGACCTCTTGTGTCTATTATTCGAATTACGCAACTGTGTAGAGATCACAGAACTAAAACACAGAGAGAGAGATGTGATGTCACGACCTGTGATTTCGGAACTGTCTCGCCTCTGTCACAGGAGTGAGTTCTGAGTTGTTCGTTGTTCCGGATCTACCTTGACTCTTATCTACAGGTAGGATTTTTGAAAACTCAAAAATCCCTGAAACAAGGAGTCATCTAATCTAAGTAGTCACTGGATAGTATTAGCCTTGATTATAAGAGTGAATACTCAAAGGTATTAGATAATTTTAGCAGGTATCAATTCATATGGAGTTAAAATTACACTTCCTGGGCTGGGGGATGTTTATTATTACCAGACCAGCAGAGTGAGATAAGTAGTCTTATCAGATACCAAATAGATGGTTTAGTCTGTGGTTTTATGTTGAATATTATGATCAAAATATAATCCATTATCAACTCTAGATCAGTCCACCCTCCAAAGGACATGGATATGGCAATCAGCATTATGGTACCTTTGCCAATGCAATATGAATGTACCATATATTTGTAATGCCCCTAAGCATCTATATTCATACAATGAAATCTACTACCTACTTACTGTATGTACTGGAAAACTAAATTCAAAATCAAATAATATATTATCATTATATTGTGCATTATGCAAATTGCATTGCAAAATTGAAAGAACCTAAATTGAATATCTAGCACTAGCTCTGTTTCAACTTGTATCACTTATATTCACAATAAAATCTTCAGGTAGTAGTTCCATCAGTTTTTCATAGGCTTTTCTAGTACATTCTTCTTTGCATGACTCCATTGTAACCTTAATCTTATACCTCCTAAAACAAAACAAACAATGTTTCATCACTTTCCTTATCATTATATGGATCAGGAGCCCTCACTGAAAGAATGAGAGATCCTTTTATTGTAATTTCTTAATATGTCCTAATGTATCATAAAGTAATAATATGATTCTTACTCATCAAATAGTTTAGGATATGATCCAAATTGTACTTCTGGAAATTCTTTGACCAAAATGTCCAATATATGAACTATTCTGTCTTCAGTTGTATTTAAAAAAATGCATTTTGAATAAAATGATTCTTTTGATTTAAACAAAGTATCTTTTATATTGGAAAAGGATTTCCTCAGTAATTCTGGTATTCCTGGGAACATGTAAACATTGTTGATTGATACATTTGGATATGTCATATTGGAACTCTGGGCTTCAGTATTATAGTTGAGCTGTGCAGATTGAGGAATCTAAAATTAAGAAACAAGACAAGATATTTTGGGTCTGATAACTCCTCTGATACCTCATCAGTTTTATTGGGCAATAATAGCCCTGTTTGTTTGTGTTTGCTCTACCTGCTAAACTTGATTTTTTTTCTATGACTTTCTCTCTCAACATCATGTCATGAACAGAGACAACTATGGAAACAAAATCAACTTTAGCAAGTTTAGCAACACAAAGGAACAGACCTATGTAAGTACATAGTTGCAAATACTACTTACATATGCAAGTTTCATTCCTGGACAGTCCACATTAGTAGTATCATAAAATTTCAAACAAATATCTCTCAACACTGGATTCAAAATCAGTTTTTCATTAAAAGCCTTTGCTACAGCTAAAAATACTCTTTGAATATAGCTGTTTTCATCATGTTATTTCTCAATTCACCTTCATAAGTAATGTCATCATGTGTAGGTCCAATACCTCCTGTGGTAAGAACGTAATGGAAGGATCCAGAAAAATATTTGACTTCTTCACTGACTGATTCCACTTTGTCACCTATAACGGATATCTGTAAGTATGGAAGTCCAAATGACCAACATTTTCAAGTAGGTAAGAAAATTCTTTAACCTTCTTCATCTGAACACCCATCTTGTGTAACTCCCTGGATAGATAATGAGAGTTGGTGTCCAGTACTTCTCCTCTTAGAATTTCATCTCCAACGACTGCAACATTTATTTATTAACGCATAAAAGTTAGTGGTTTAGCCAGAAATGAAAGAAATCCAACCAATTATTCCAGCTGATGTCATTTGTGTTCCTGAGGTAGAAGTGGTAGAATGGGACCTGCATAGTTGGCGAATGATGGTCCTTGTAGGTTCTCTCCATAATAATTTGGCAACCATATCAATATAATTTTGAATACATGAAATTTCAGAATAAAAAAAAATCATTCATTTTGAAATTTGAAATTCGATTCTCTACAATGTTTACAATTTCACAAATTTCTTCTGACTTGGAGACGAGACTTCGCTTGTTAACTGTCATTGTCACGTGAACTGTCAACAAAAACTTACGAGAGTCCCTGCAAACAGTTCACCACATTCATCCAATATTTTGGCTTCTTACATAATAACGAAATTGAGCAACGTGATATAAGAACAAGTTGACTTCGCCCGTCATACAATTATATGGTCACAAATCAGCGACGAAATTTAAAGGGCGTCGAGGCGCCGTACATTATGCTATTTCTCGGCAAATTTGAGGCAATGCAATTTTCTCGCAATTTTCTCAATTCATTGCGAGTCGCCGTGCATTGGGATATTTCTGTCATATTTTCTTGTTCATATTCACTTTTTTCAGGTTTTTTGAGCCTTCAATGTACTTTTTGAGGTTATTTGGTGTTTCAGGCCACGTTATGGAGAAACTCTGTATTTTATCAAGATGCTCCGATGGATATTACTGAAAATTTTACCAAACTTGCCTTGAAATTGCAGGAAAAATAGGACTGGCTCTATTACGAAACTTGCATGAAACTTGCCGTGAAATATCATGGACGCATGCGCATTGTTCGATTCAAAATTGCATTGCATCGAACTTGCTGGTAAATAGCATAATGTACGGCGCCCTTAAAAGCATGGAATAGACTCCTTCGACATTTTCTTTATTGTAAAATGGCTGATTTGGGTTCAGACTTCTCGACTGATATCGAAGAAGCAGAACAAATTACACTATCCTCTTCGTCCATCCATATTTTTATTACATATTTGGTGTTGAAATGAACATTTCATCACCTTATGTAATCTTTCACTTTACGCAACTGGTAACGTTAAAGTCAAAAGTTTCAAAACTTCTGTCAATTTTGAAGTGTCATAAAACATGTCATAATAATTAGAAGAATATATTTTGTGTATAAAAAAGGGGACTTTTTCCAAATTCAACCTAGCTCGGTCAAATAAATGAACCAGCTTCTTAAAAAATGTATATTTTTCAAAAACCTACCTACTTGAGCTAAAAACAGGAACATCTTTTTCAAAAACAATTTGAGCTAACTAGGCATGAATAAACTTCCTTCGTTGGAAATTCAATCGAAAAATTACTCTAAAGAACAAAATTAAGGAAAAACTGGCTTCACATGTTGTAAGTGAAAACTTTCATGGCCGGTCAGTATTTCTAATATCTTTTGGACTATATCGGTACACTTATGAATATGCCGATCTCATGCTACACACTGACTGTGATGCGAGTTTGTGAGTTTTACTTCCATCCCGGAAAGTGCCCAAACGGACCTATAGAAAATGAAAATACGACAACAAAAATTTGTTGCTCGAATGACTGAACATCAAGCCGCACATGATATGCTAACGCTTGGCTTACTGTAGGGTTGCATGATGCAAACTGACGTTTTTGTCATGTTGACATGAAGCGACCCTAGCTCACTGTACTCCGAGCTCACTTGATAACTTACATTCAAAAAAAGTAATCTCGCATTGTGTTCACACTGCACAGACGTTCGTTGGAAGCCAGAATATCGGATGACGGTGCGGACACCGATACCATCACGATTCATGACAGCCATCCATACGTTAGGCCGTGAGATGTGGCTCAGTGTTGCCAATGGTAGCGGAATTCCGCGACGCATAGCGGGATCTGGTGGTATTTCCGTCAAACGAGGACTACAAAGTAAGTTTTGTTAGCTAAGGGTAGAGGGCTCTAGTACGCTGAACAATAATTACAATTTTTCGGAGGATTCCCAAATCTTCTGAATAATGAAAACAAAACAAATCAACGTATATGTTTCCTATGTTGTACTTGTATAGGTACTAGATGAAGTTTTGTTGGGAATGTTTAACGTATATCACCACCCGTTCATTACAAGCGTATCTCTGCAAGCGTCTAGCTAGACCAGCGAATCTTTGAAATATCGAGGTCAAGTGACGGCACCCACAACACTTTGATATTTCTTTCCTCCAAAGATCATACATCTTAGTTTCTTCCTTATATTGGGAAACTACGAGAACATCAAGTAAAGCCGGTAAAGCGATAGGTCAGTGTGTCTTTTTAATATTATTCCACTCTGCCATAGGGCAAATCATAGGAAAGGGAGAAAACAACCAAAAGAGAAAAATCAAAGAATCCGCTAGCTTGAATTCTTCTGAACGGAGACAATAGCATTGCGTCCTGTTCCGTTGATGTAGATAAAACATGGTATTCACTATACCGAAAACTGAACATCAAAATGGTAGATTCAATTGATGAAAACATACTGTAACTCATTTGTATACTATAACATCATGACTCATTCATATGCCAACAATAGTATGTCACTGAGGAGAGTCAAACTAGGTATATAAGAACAGAATTCTCGAAGAGAAATATTTTGCATTTTTATGTTGAGAACAGGGGCAGATTCGTTCCCGAAACGTCCGAAGATAAGTAAAAAATCGATATTTTTCCAATATACCAATAATATTTCTCCTGTTCAATAGTGATTTACGTAACAAGTTTGGAAAATACTGTTTTCTGGACGAGTAGACAAAATTCTAGGCCAAGCCCTATAGGCGAGTCCTGGGAGTCTGCGAGACCAAAGAAAACTGTTTTTGGACGTGTTGCGTACACTATTTTTCACATTGGAAACCTCGTATTGATATTTTCATTGATAGTTTATTGCGATAATTGCAACCAAACTTTCAAAAATCAAAATGTCAACTAATTCCATGTCGAATAGCCGTCAGTCGATATTTCGCTGCTATGAAAATTTTCATCTGCATTTATCAAAACCTTATCTACCAAGATAGCAGAGGAAGAACTTCCTGGACTAGGCCGGTAAAATGCTACTTTTTCAAAGAAAATGCGTCCGGGAAGTGAGCACTTCCCGGACGCTTCGTTAATTTGGAGAATTAGAAAAAATCTGATATCATGCGAATATTCCTTAGACTGTATCAAATCAATGTGCTGAATATATGTGCACTTATTTCAAAAACATCGTGTATATATAGTTGGGTAATTTTTTCAATCTCTCATTTCCTTCTCCGCTGAATAGGTTGACAGTACTTATACCATATACTATCGAATGGCATAAAAAAATAGGGGGGTCAAAATGAAATATGCGGTGAGACCACTTTTTCCACCCAAAGATCTACACTGTAGCAATTCTGACGTCACCCCTGTTCGAATTTCCGTTAATTAATTAATCTATCCCGGGCAACCAGATGACGTTCCAATGACGTCTTTATTACGTCACTTGAATGACCAAGGTGACGTCAGTAGTTGACGTCGCATGACGTGATAATGACGTGAATAAGTCACAGCCCAATGACGTCATATTACTCACGTCGTATTGACGTCATTCACTCACCAAACAGTGACGTCCAACTGACGTCATAATGAAGTCATAATGACGTCAAAATTACGATTAAATTTAGTGATGATACGTAAAAAAGATTTCTTCAACATGGTGTGATATATAAACACCATAATAATATTGATTATGCATTGTTGAGTCTGCTTGGTGGGTCCCTCCTGTGTCATGTTCATTCAATCGCCTCTTCAGCAGCGCTATCCTTCAGTACGCATCTCCATCAGAATGCAATCAGTTTACTTGTAGTTGTATCAAAAATTATGTAGTTTGTGTCGGCGAGATGTGAGCAAACAAAGAATAGTTTGATAGCAATGGTGAAGATGTTGGAGAATTTGGCTTCACTTTGTCGAATAATGTATATTGATGCATTATTTGTCACCCAACAAAATTTTATGTAGCAAATTATTGAAAAAATTTCGGAAAGACGGAGCTCACCAAATTGGTACGTCACACCGACGTGATTTTTAGACGTCATAGATACGTCACTGCAACGTCAGAAGAGTGACGGTTTTGATATAGGTATACCTAAACAATCATTTGTATATATATATATTATATATATATATAGCTTGTTGGTTACCGAGATATACATCAGTGTGTCGAAGTTTAAAAAAAAATGTCCCCTACTTTTCGGGTATATTAATAATTTCAATAAAACTTGCGCATGTTGATTTGCTTTCATGAGTTATACTTCTGTTTCACATGATAATATATGAGTATCCATGATGGTTTAAAGAAGGTCTGGGAAAAATGGACGTCGACAGGACGTCCCTGCAACGTCATGAAACTGACGTCTTCTTTTACCCATCTAAGTGTGACGTTCACTCAACGTTATTATATTCTTTATAACCAAGAAACAGAGAGATTTATTAATTTTTCCCATTTTTTCAATTAATCATAACTCATAAACCACCTATACATTTTTTTGATGGATGGTTTGTATATGTTCTTTGTTTACAGTGGTGACGATTGGCATACTAAAAAAAGTCTTATTCTAGGACCGACCTTGAAGAATTCAATAAGTAGGTTTCGAGTTGAAACAACACCCTGTCTATCAATATTTTGAAATTCCATTTACAAATTTGGAAGACCTGGAAAAAATAAGTGAGACCATACAACTTTTTCACCTATTAATTTGAGATAAATCTAGAGAGGTTTTAATGGAACTTCTTCATTTCTAATATCATAAAAATTATCATCTATTTCTTATTCTCCTAATTTCTGGATTCAAACCTAATTGAAAAACTAGAGGACAAGTCGCCGTATTTGGGACAAATTATTATTTTAAATGACTATAACTTGTACAATTATCATGAAATTATCAAAACATTTGTTTATTGTACTAGATTCAAAACAACAATTAGGAAAATGTTGAATAGGTACTGCCCATTCGGAATAAGCATAACTTTATATCAAACAAAAATGTCGTTGCAACAAATTGTATTGAATTAAATCCATAGACATACAACATGTTCATTGTTACCAAATTATTACAAAGATTTGGGATATCAAACCCAAAGTGTTCGTACAGACTGCTTTATCTTATTATTATTATCAAGAATGCATCAGAAGAGTCGAGAAATTGATTATGCTCTAGCTAAAAAAATAATTAGACGCAGATAAAGAAAATTGAAGTTTTTTATTTTCTGTTACGTTTAACCTTCAA